AACAATAAGATATTATTTTTACCATCAAATTGGAAAAACAGTAAATACAATAATACCCCACTGTTGGTGAGGATTCAGGGAAACGGATACCTATCTACTGGTGGGTAAGATATAGACTAGTATAAATATTTTGAAGCCAGTTTAAACAACAGTATCAAAGGCCTAAGACATTCATGCTCTTTCATTTAGTGATTCTACTATAGGAATTTATCTTTAAGGAATAATGGATTACATGATGATTTATTTAGGTACAAGGAGATTCAGCACCAGTGGTAATTCTAGAATTTCTATTTAGGAAGGAATTAGGCAAAAACCTAATTGGGAGAGGTGAGAGACCTGGAGCTGTGCCGGCTTCGCACTTTGCTGCAAAAACATAAACTGTCCTTGGCAGAGACAGGAGGGCTTGGGAGCGATTATGGGGATTTCAGCCATCCCAAGCCATCCTGGGGCACTGCAAATGTTCAACAAGTTCTTCAGAATATCAGAACCCTGGAAACTGAGTGTCCTATATCAGAGCAGGATAAACGAATTTTGGTCCACCCGAAAAGAGGAATACTATCCATTAAAAAGGGTAAGGCAGCGGAATAAAACTTAGATATGGAAAGATGTTCATGAGCTATTACGTGGAAAAAGATTATAACACTGTATATATATGTGTGTGTATATATATATGTATAACATGATCCCATTTGAAATACATATTTGCATAGAAATAGATATGAAAGATAATACAATAAAAGGCTAACATGAATAGTAGTTATCTCTGGGTTGTATAATTATACATTTTTAATTTCCTTTTCTTTTGCTTATTCAATTTTCTATTTTTTGAAAACAACAAATAGGTACAGCTTTTGCAAGAAAAAAATAAATAAAAGTTATAAAAATAAACAGGGAAAAACCTAGTTACTAAAGAGTGCCTACTCTTTCTAAAGAAAACCTATCTTCAGATGGGGTTTGTGCTGTTCCTTTCATGTGCACCAAGGACCTTATACAATAACAAATTTAATACTAGGAGTGTTAGAAAGTAGAATTATGATCTTTCTAGCATCCCACATTCTCTAAACATGAAGACTGCTGCCTACTGTACTTCAAAAGGCACACGGAATTTTTAAGTTTCCAGAGAACTGGAAACTTGACATTCCCACTAGTGAGGGCAAAGGGAAATAAAGCAGTATGTTTAAAAGTTCTATTCATGACAAGGCATCTTCAGAAAAGAAATGTGTGTTTAAGGAATGGGACCTGCATGCAGAGCTAAACTCTTGGTATTCCTGATTCTTGCTCTGACCACGATTACTTCATAATTCAGCTCAGACTAAATTTACCACATTCAATCTGGATGGCTTGTCTAATTCACTGGCTTCTCTCTCAAGAGGCAGAGTTGGGATTAGTTAGTAATGAGGTGGGAGAGTGTTTTGAAAAGGAAATGAGACACCACAATTTTCTATTAATGTTATTACACTTTAGTAATAGTGCCAGGATCAAAGCACAACGTTCTAGTGTGAGAGGTGAATCACTGCTGCCAATACTGTACTACCGTATGAAAGTCAAACACATGGTACTAAGAGCAGCAACACAGCTCAGAGGAAACAGGAGGTAAGCAAATTACTCAGTTGAGTTGATAAACACAAGATTAATTCAATAAAAGAATCTATCAGAAACTTAATCAGATTACCTACGGCAACTAAATTAGCTGAGTAATTTGGATGGTATAGCCTTATTTCATATTTCCATAAAACAGGCATCTCTAAGAAGCAAAAATCCACACCTGCAACACACCATGAAACTGTGTTCAAATGTCAAGAACTTATATAACACAAAATATTATACCCCTGAGGCCAAACCTGTCTAATAATGTCTGCAATAAGAAAACTTATCAATTGTGTTTAAAAAGCTTCCCTTCTGACACCAAAAGCAAAGGCAACAAAGGCTAAAACCAACAAGTGGGACTAATATCAAATGAAAGCACTTCTGCACAGCAAAGAAAACCGTCAACAAAATGAAAAGGCAACATACGGAATGGAAGAAGATACTTGCAAATCAAATATCTGATAAGAGGCCAATATCCAGAATACATAAAGAATTTATACAACTCAATAGCAAAAAACCCAAACAATTAGATTTAAAAGTGACAGGAAATCTGAATCAACATTTGCCCAAAGATATGCAGATGACCAACAAGTACATGAAAATATGCCAATACCACTAATCATGAGGGAAATGCAAATCAAAACCACAAGATAGCACCTCACACCTGTTAGAATGGCTATTACCAAAAGGACAAGAAACAGCAAGTGTTGGTGAGGATGTGGAGAAAAGGGAAGCTTCGTACATTGTTGGTGGGAATGTAAGTTGATGTATGGAAAATACTATGAAGGTTCCTCAAAACATTAAAACCACAGGGAAATATACACAAAATGTTATGATAAATCACAGAGAAAAAAATGTGACAATGAGTGTGTATATGTCCATGAATGACTGAAAAATTGTGCTGAACACTGGAATTTGACACAACATTGTAAAATGATTATAAATCAATAAAAATGTTAAAAAAAAAATAAAACCAGAACTACCATATAATCCAGCAATTCCCCTTCTGGGTATTCACCTGAAGAAAACAAAACCATTAACCTGAAACAATCTATGTACCCCCATATTCCTCTAAGCACTATTTACAGTAGCCAAGACATGGAAACAACCTAACTGTCCATCAATAGATGAATGCATAAAGAAAATGTGGTGTATGTATATGTATATATGTGTGTGATACACACACACACAGTATTATTTAGCCATAAAAAATAATGAAACTTTGTCATTTACGACAATATGGCTGGACTTTGAGGCATTATGCCAGGTGTAATTAAGTCAGACAGAAAGACAAATGCTGTAAAATCTCACTTATATGTGGCATCTTAAAAACAGAAGCAAAAACAAACAAAAAAGAACAAGCTCATAGATACAGAAAACAGATTGGTGGTTGCCAGATGCAGGGGGTGGGGGAGTGAGAGGGTGTGAAATGGGTGAACAAGGTCAAAAGATACAAACTTCCAGTTATAAACAAGTAATCAGGATGTCAGGTACAGGATGGTGACTATAGTTAATAATACTGTACTGCATATTTGAAAGTTGCTAAGAGAGTAAATCTTGAAAGTTCTCATCACAGGGAAAACACTTGTGGCTCTGCACAGTGGTGGATGTTAACTAGATTTAATATGGTGATAATCTGCAACGAATACAATTATCAAACCATTACGTTGCACACCTGAAACTGATATAACATTATCTGTCAATTATGCTTCAATTCTTTAAAAACCCATTGCATACTTTCGTATCTCTCTAGAAGCAAAGTCACAATGAATAAATACTGTAAGCTACAACATTTAAAACATTTCAACCCAAACTAAAAGCAGTACAGTATGCTCTGAAATCACAATTCTGGTTGCCTGGTCTGGCATCAAAATCAGTTATTTGGTAAAATGCAAAGTTTAAGGGCAATTACTGCAACGGGAGGGGAAGGGACCTGAGAACACCCGCACAGGCATTCTTCATTCTGGCCTCCTAGAAATAACAGTTTTCACCTTAAGTGGTGCGTCTCTTCCAGCTTTCCTTAGTCAGTAATTAATCAACCTCGGGCATCAATTTCAAACAGATGAAGGTCATCACTGGATAGCCAGTTAGAGCCTTAAAATCTTTCCTTGCTGAGAAAAGCTTCCCTTTTGTCTTTCCAAAGTTCTGTTTAAGTTTAAGTGCTTTCTGCCCAACGGTTATTTTCACCCCACTTCACAAAGGGGGGTTGAAAATTGATCATCCAGGATTACTTATTGAATTTTTACCCCTTTATAGACAGACTCATATCTCAGTCTTTCCGGTTCAATTTACCTCTAGAATCAAGAAATCAAGCCAACTCCCAAAGGAGGCTTTGGGGTCCGAGCAAAGTTGGAGCAGAAAAAGGCGAGCGGCAGGGCGGTAGAGTAATACCGCACCTTTCTTGGGGATGTGAGCCTCAGACTGAGCGAACATCGCTCCCGCCTCATCGAAGGATTAAGGATGCAAGGGCTGAGGAGAGGGCCTGCCAGAAAGAGCCTCAGAGGACAGAATCCGCATTTCACCCTTCTCCTGACAGGACGCGTTCGAGGTCTAGGGCCGCCCCTAGGCTTGGAAGAAAACCCCAAGCCTTTGCATAAACTGAAAATAAGTTTTTCATCCCCCAAATTATTTATCTCCGAAAATTCTAATCTCTAATTACTCCAATCACAATATGCTTTGACTCGGGCCCCAGACAGACAGAATGCTGCCCAGCGAGGCCCCAAGAGCCAAAGGCCGAGCAGCACGCAGAGCTGGTCTCTCCGTTCGCCCAAGGGGACGGCGGGCTCCGCCACCGTGACCGACGGGACCAGTAGTTCGTGGCCCCCCGCCGCTCGCCG